ATGTGACACCATGCTTGTAAACTGATGTAAAACTGCCTGAAGAATGAGCAGCATGGGTGTAATTCAGTGGCTAAATTACTTGCCTATAGCACTTCATGACCCTAGGTTACATGCTTACTACTAGAAACAAATTTCAGGTAGTACAACACTGATTTGGGAAAATAAATAAATATATTTGTATAAACTGACAACATGACTGCTCTGTGGTATGTTTAAAGGGAAGATTGTTATTGAAGATATGAGACAGAGAATAACAAGAGGCATCCGGAAGAGTCCAGAGCAGAGAGAGAAATAAGTAGACTGGACATGGCCAGCGGACTGGACAGGGCTGTCTGTGAGATAGGGGGACTGGTAAAAGATAGAGAAGAGAGCAAACAGTGAGAGAAGCAGGAGCGGAGAGACAGACAGAGAGCATACTGAGCATTACAGGGTTGTAAGGAGAATGAGTGGCTAGGGTGAAGCAAGCCCTTGATCTGAAGGGAGTTTAGGGGAGGGGAGAGGGAGGGGAGGGTGGATTTTGAAATGTGTAACAACAAATACTTGTCCTACTGAGAAAGACTGGAGGCCAGGCTATGCTTGATATGCTAATAGGCACCACAGGTAGCTGTGCGTCCCTCCGTCAGAGGTGAGGGCAAAGCCTCCTTTTGGTAGAAGGAAACCAGTTTCACAAGTTCTGGAGGAATGCTGGCTTTTATCTAACCATCAGAAATCCTTCAATAGTCCAGGTCAAGCCCATTTTTAAAAATTTGGACTGCCTTTTGGAGTTTGGGGAACGGGTTTCCTTTGGACGCCACAATATTAACTCTTAAGTTGTCACTAAAACATTGGTAATATTTTGTTATAATTGTTGATGCTACCAATTATAGATCTTATCAGGAATAATTAGAACGTATCTTCACTGGTAGGGATGGATGATGTATGTGCTTGAGTCTGTCTTTATGTAAGGAAAAGCAGATAATTTCTTTTATTTGCCCTTGGTGTTAAAGTCTTGCCACATGCCTATTTGGCAGACTGGTAAGAAATGATCTTTCTGTGAGTTTGTTCCTCATAAGTAATTGTAGCTGGCCTCATTTGACATTCCAGATTAAATATTATTGGTATTGAACTAAAATATTATGGAGGCCTTCTTCTCTAATACTCATAGGAAAATTAAAATAGATTTCCATTTTCCAATCCCTTTGAAGATATCCTTCAAAATAAGGTCTAAGGTATTGTAGAGGGATATTAACAATGTCAGTGAAACTTCAGTGAAAAAAAAAATGACTGCACATCAGTATGTCAGTCTGGAAGAACTGAACAACTGACAATGTGTTACTGGCATAGAGGAAAAAGAATTTCACAGAAAATGAATAAAATATTTTTAATAAAATCATAGAAAATTCCACTAATCTAGGGAAGAAGAATCTGGCCCACAGAACACCAAATTGACAGGATCAGAAAAGAAATTTTCTCCATGACGAAGAAAAAATCGAAGCAAAAAATTATAAAACGAAGACAATATATCGAAAGTTGCAAAATAGAAGGACCTACTCATATCCAAAGGCAGTCTCATCAGAATAACTGCTAACTTTTGTGGAATATTATTTTAAGATTTGTTTATGCTGTGGAACATTTGTTAATAATGCAAAGATATGTTGCATTCTTTTATGTTACATTTGTTTAACTCTGTGAAGTTGTGTTACTGTGCCGGTCTAAAACACCTGATTGGTCTAATAAAGAGATGAATAGTCAATAGCAAGGCAGGAGAAAGGGTAGGACAGAGAGAATAAATAGGAGAAATCTGGGAAGAGGGATGGAGAAGTGGAGAAGCAGGAAAGAGGAGGAGAGGAAGACTCTAGGGGCCAACCACCCAGCTACACAGTAAGCCATGGAGAAAGAAGTAAAGAAAGGTATACAGAAATAGAGAAAGATAAAAGCCCAGAGGAAAAGATAGATGAGATAATTTAAGAAAAGCTGGCTAGAAATAAGCCAAAGTAAGGACGGCCCATTCATAAGAAAGAATAAGCTTCCATGTATTTACTTGGTTGGGAGCTGGATCAGGGGAGCTGGGTGGTGGGCCCCCTAAAGAGCCAAAAGAGTAAACAAAACAAAACAACTACAGTGAACTTTTCAAACTATGAAAGCATAAAGAGCTTGGGCTTGGACCTTTCAAAATCTGAAAGAGTACAGCTCCCAGTTCAGTCTAATATATTCTGTAATACTTCAGTCATAGTTGATAGTGAAAGAAAAATCTCCTATGATAAAAGCAGGCTAAAAAAAAAATCATGACCCCTAAGCCATTCCTTCAGAGAATACTAGAAAGATCACTTCAGTATAAATAGAATGATAAACACAACTCAGGAGACCTTATCAGTAAGTTTCTTTGTTCAGAAGATATGGTTGACTCAGAAACTCACTAGTCAATGTGCAGAAAATAAGTGTCTGGAGTTCTCAGCCAAGAATGAGACAGACACCTGTATACTCCCTTCCCTCCAAGGCTCAGGGGCCACTGTGGGCAAGGTTAGGAAGGACATAAGCAAAACAGTGTCTTCTGGACACGACAAGACTGCCACATTCACAAACTCACAGCAGCTGTGTTGGTCTGTACAAGATCAAGCCAGTGAACATTCTAGCATGGAGTGGGAAGGAACTTAGGAGTTCAGCCCCTAACTGAGGAGCAATTTACAGTGACAGCCTCTGAGGAAAGGAAACTCCCTTTTCTTTAAGGATGTGGCCCCTGGTAGGTTGATCATGCTCTGTGGATGGTTCCATACATCATCATGGGCAGCATGAATTTGATTTGGTGAGTGATTAAAAACCAAATGCACATGAAATTGGAGAGAGTGAGGAAGTTGACATTAGATGTAAGAGGAGTTAGGGAGAAAAGTCTGGGGGTCATTCTAAAAACTGACTTTTTATTTTCATTTTGGAATGCAAACAAACATGCAAATCAGTGGGTGTAATTACAAGATATAAATTGACTTAATGATAGATGGTCACATGACCATCTCAATGGATGCTGAGAAGACCTTTGACCAAGTCCAACAGCCTTTCCTGATAAAAGTCCTGAATACAGGGACTAGAAGGAACATACTACAACTTAATTAAGGGCTATATGAGACAAATCTATAATCAAATTCAAAAAAAATAGAAGAAAGCATTTTCTCTAAAATGAGGAATGAGACAAGGGTATTCAGTGTTTGTGCCCTTATTCAATATAGTGATTGAATCCTTAGCTATAGCAATAGTCAAGATAATTTTCTTTAAGTAGGAAAGGAAAAAGTTGAACTATCTCTATTTGTCTATGGCATGGTCCTACATTTAAAGGACTCTAAAAATTCTACCAAAATCTCTTAGAACTGACAAACACTCAAAAAAAAATAGATCACAAAATCAATATCTAAAATCAGATCAGAACTTTTCCTATACACTTATAATTGTGAACTTGTAAAGAAAGAAGAAGAAAATCCTGTTTATAACAGCTCTTTAAAAAAAAAAAAACAGTAATAAATCTCCCAAAGAAGATGAAAGTTTTCTACAAGGAGAACTTTCAAAAGACTAAAGAAAGAAATTGAATATGATATCCAAAGGTGGAAAGACCTCCCATACTCATGGACTGTGAAAGTGAATGAAATAGTGAAAGCTTCTTACAGATTTAATGCAGTCCTCATCAAAATTTCTCAGAAATAGAAAAAAAACCCTAAAATTTGTATAAATATACAAAAGACTTTGAGTATCTCTAATAATCCTTAGCCAAATGAACAATGCTGTAAGTGTACAAGGAGCCATCTCAAATGATGCTGCAGTGCCATAGTAACAAAATGAACTGGAACTAAGCCCCAAACAGACTTGTGAAATAGCATAGGGAACGCAGAAATAAATCCACACAGCTACAGCCCCTTGGAGAAATGATCACCTCTTCAAGACATTGCTCTGGGAAAACTAGATATCCATGTAAAGAAGAATGAGTTTATTTCTCACACTGAACAACAACAACAAAAATAATCAAAATATTTTAAAGCCTTTAATTTAGAACCTGAAACCTTGAAATTGCTAGAGGAAAACAGGAGAAACACTTTCAAGATACAGGCATAGGTGAAAGATTTCAGAAAAGGAATCCAATAGCTCAGGAAATAATTGGGGAAAATTGACAAATGGAATCACATGAAATTTAAAAGATTCTACACAGCAAAGGAGATAGAAGAACAGGAGGAATCCTTAAGCAGAAATCCTCTGACAGGGACCGATGTCAGATAAAGAACTCTGAAACCTAAACTCCCAAGTCATCCATTCATAGACTAAAGAGCTGGAGACTTCTGCCTGGAATACTAATGGCCAATAAGTATTTGGAAAGAAAAAAATGTCTGGCATTATTAGCCTTCTAGGGAGTGCAAATAAACTCTTTGTGGTCATATAAGCCTGTGAGAAGGCTAGCTGCAAGAAGACCATGCTGGTCAGGACGTCAAAAGAGGAGCCCTTCATCACTGCTGGGGCAGCCTCCATGAAGAGCTCCTGGGTGCTCACAGCAGAGAACCTAAGTCCACACACCTCTGAGACACTTGCATGTCTGTTTGCTGCCTTCTACTCGTAAAAGCCACCACACAGATCCAGTTTAGACATTTGTACTAGGTGATGGATGAAGAAAACATGGTATATATACCACTCAAGGAAGTGATTTAGTTGTAAAGATGAAAACTAATTTTTGCAGGAATATGGCTGGAACTAGGGATCATAGTGAGCAAAAATAAGCCAGATTGAAAAGGTAAGTATCCGATTTTACATCACAAGCCAGAATACAGATTTAAATACATGTATTTCACATCATAACTGTAGGACGTGAAAACGGAAGGAGGACTATCTGGGAGAAGCGGGGGTGAGGAAGAGGGTGGGAGAAGTACAAAGGAGAGTGGACAACAGCCATGAGCAAACACATGATATATGTGTGAAGACATCATAATGAAACTCATTGTTTTGCAAGCAAACCATAATAAATAAATTTAAGAGTGGGGTGGCGGTGGCCCGATTGGCTGGGATGCAGTGTCCATGGCTAGCAGCTGGGGTAGGGGCTTTGTCCAGCTCAGAGCAAGGCGAGGCCCTCTAGACATCCGCGCGGTGGTGGCAGAGACGCAGCGGCAGCCAGAGAGGCAGGATGGTCTCCGGGTCACGTGCCGCCAGCGGGCCTGGCGGACTGTGTAGGGCATAGGCAGGCAGGGAGATTGCAGCTTCTCAATCACAGCAGGACTCTGGTGAAAAACACATTGCACATTTATGGCGATTCCGAATTTGAGAGTCAATTTCTGCCAGGCTCAGCACAGCAATTTCCCTGACAAGTGACCTTGGGGATTCTATGTGCCATATTCAACTGCACCTTGAAGACTCTGGACACGAGGCTGTCGTCAAAAGTAACTGCAAGTATATTTCGTTTAATGACTCTGGTAAAATCAAACATCAAGTAAACAAAGGCGGAAGACAACCATCACTGTTGTCTCGCTAAAGTCTAAATGTAGGCTGGGTAGGTGAGTTCGGTATGTAGCTGGCTGTTTCTGAAGTCTGAAGGTATCCATCTGCAGACGCTAAGGCCCAGGTTGAATTCGAATGAATTTAAATACTTCTGCCTTTCTTGGAGAAGCTTCATACAGAGTAAACAAACCGAATAAAGAAAATAAAGAACGACAATAGACCTTTTGGTGATCTTAATGTTTTCGCTTTCCCATCACACACGCAGGCACACTCTCATTTGCCATAATGAATCATACAGCCCCAGTGGAGATCTGCTATGACAACATGCGTTTTCTGATAACTCACAACCCCACCAATGCTACGATGCACAAGTTCACAGAGGAACTTAAGAACTATGGAGTGACAACCCTGGTCAGAGTTTGCGATGCCACGTATGATAAAGCTCTAGTTGAAAACCGTGGCATCCGCGTTCTAGACCTGCCCTACAACGACGGAGCCCCACCCCCTGATAACATAGTGGATGACTGGCTGCACCTGTTAAAAAGCAATTTCCGTGAGGAGCCAGGTTCCTGTGTGGCAGTGCACTGTATGGCAGGGCTGGGACGGGCTCCTGTGCTGGTGGCACTGGCTTTGATCGAATGTGGAATGAAGAACGAAGACGCAGTTCACTTTATCCGACAGAAACGAAGGGGCGCGTTCAACACCAAGCAGCTGCTTTTCTTGGGGCAGTATCGACCCAAGATGCGGACCAGGTCACGGTTGCGCTTTAGGGATTCCCCGGTGCACTGCTGCATTCAGTAGGATACAAGCCAAGGCTTTCTCCACTGTGGCTTTGAGATGGAACTCTTAGCACCTGGAATGCAGTTCTGGAATCTTTCCTGTGTCATCAATGAGTAGTGGATTCAACGAACTGGTGCCGAAGCCAACATGGAGAAATCCCTCTATAAAGTGAATAAATTAAGAAAAGAAATAAAATTAGAAGGAAAAAACTAACTCGTTCCAGAGCAACAGCAAAGAAAACCTGGACCCTGAGTCTGGCTCCTAGAAGCACTCCCACAATCTGCCATGCTGTGACACCCCCGAGAGGCTGGCGACAGTGAGGTTACCTAATCTTGAGCTCTCGTCCTCCACAACTGCCACCTAAATAAATCTCTTGATAAATTACCCAGCCTCAGGCATTTTATTATAACTGAAAAAGGGGCTGATACATTTACCAACTCACATTTACTAAAATTTTATTTTGTATTTCAGCTGATATATCAGCTGGGGATATCCTCAGGGCTAAGTACAATACCTATAGCTTATTAAACGACTGAAGTGTGTGTGTGTGTGTGTGTGTGTGTGTGTGTGTGTGTGTGTGTGTGTGTGTGTTGAACAAATAAGTCATGACTTCCTGTTGATATACTGCTCTGTTGTCCTGAGAAACATCTTGCATGTGTTAACCTTAAGAAAGCTACCATTTAGTTTCTAAAGATATTAAAATACTGAGCATTGGCTGGAAAATGTATATGGAAAATGGAGGTAAAGTCCCTCCAAGTTATTAGAGGAAACTTGTGTTTTAAAGGAAGTGAGTGACTCACAGTACATCCTAAGCAGAGACAGAACACTCGGGACCACAGTGTACCGAAGTCTGCACTGCTGGTAAAATACGTTTTCATTTTCCTGATGTCTTACTTTAATACTTTATGAGAATTAAATTGCTTTGTGTCTACCTAAAACAATTCCTCAATTATACCTACTCCTAAAGAGCTGCTTCCTCATGCAGATAGAAATAAATATACTTTACCTCTCAAAACCATAATTGGGCCCTCTCTCATGCTGCTGCTGCCCTGCAGGCTGCAGGGCAGAGAGCTCCCACTGTTTCTGTGAGAAGTAGCCAGCGGGAGCTATTACAAGCTCATTTCTCTCCTAATTGGTAACCACATGGCCAAGAACCGGCCCTGCAAGACTGCTGGGAGAGTCACTTCTGAACCCCAGGTAGAAGCTGACAACCATGCCCTGTTGGCATGGAATTGCTCATAAGAAGAGTGGCATCAAGGTTCTCCGCTTCCCAAATCCCTAACTTGGCCTAGGTCTGCCATTCCTCAACACTGCCTCCTCTTTGGACCATAGGCAGGTGGGCAGTTGAGAGACCAGATGAGGTCGTGACAGGGCTCGTAGTCATCATGACTATGGAATGCCTTCACCATTGGCAGCAGCTGCTTTGGAGCCAGCCTTTATGTCGGCTCCATTCTAAACTCAAACTGAAGCATTTACAGTGGTCTTTTTGTTTCCCTTACTGCCCCCTAGACAGTCAGGAATCTTCCAAGAGCTCCTATTGGTTCAACCTTTAAAGCTGGACAGAAGATGTTATATTAAAGAAGAATGAATAACCTGTATATCCTTTTCTTATTCCCGATTTTAGTGGAAATGCTTTGAGTTTTTCTTTAATTAGTATGCTTTGGTTGTGGGCTTGCTGTATGTTACATTTTATATGTTGACATACATCCACCATATTCCTAGATTCTCCAGGATAATTATCATGAAGAGATGTTGGATTTTGTGCGTCTAATGAGATGATCCTGTGGGTTTTATCTTTAAGTTTGTTGATGTGGTCAACTACATTTACTGATTTATGTATGGTGAATTACCCCTGCATTTCTTGGATGAAGCTGAGTTAATTGCAGTGGATACCCTTATAGTGGGAATTTGCTTTTCCCATGACCTTGGGCTATTTGGCCTGATAGAGGTGGTGCTTTTTATCTGCCTACAATATGTGACTGCTTAAAAGGGAGGAGAAAAGGGCTCACGTTCTCTTGGGTGGTGAAGACCAGATTAGGTGGCATGAAGCAGTGTGTGATCATTCCCCAGCTTTCCAAGGACTCTGCAACTGAATTCACCTTATCCTGTATCAGTGAGTCTTTTTTCCCAAAGAATCCCCTAATATATATATATATATATATATATATAATTGAGGTTCTTGTTACATACCCTTCTATTGTATTCTTGAATTTAGTCTGCAAGTATTTTATTGAGAAGTCTTGCATCTATGTTCAGCAGAGATTGACTTATAATTTTCTTATTTTTGTTGTTGTTTAATCTTTGTTTAGTTTTGATATTGTGGTAATAGTGACTTCACAAAAAAAAATCTTAAAGCATTTCTTCTTTTCTATTTTACAGAATAATTTGAAGAGAACTGATGTTAGTTCTTGTAGAATTCTGTGCTATACCCATAGGTTCCAGTGCTCTTTGTAATTGGGAGATTTTTAATTACTGTTCCTATCTCACTGGATATTATGGGTCTATTCAAATTATTACCCATCTTGATTTCATTTGGGTAGGTCATATATAACTAAAAAACAACCATTTATTTTAGGTGTTACAGTTTAATAGAATATAAATTAATATATCCTTATGAGCCTCGGAATTTCCTCAGTATATGTTGTAATCTTTCAATTTTAATCTCTGATTTTATTTATTTTGGTTCTCTCTTTTTGTGGTTAAACTAAAGATTTTCCAGTCTTGTTATTCTTTTCAAAAAAACCAACTCTTTATTTCATTGCTTGTATTTTTTTTTTCATTTCTATTTTGGTTATCTCCTTTCATCTACTCTTTTTGGGTTTTGTTTGTTCTTGTTTTTCCAAAGTCTTCAGGAGTAGTTGGACTTTCCTTTGGTCTGCCAAGCTCATAAATAATGACACAGAGACTTGTTATTAATTATGAAAGCTCAACCTTAGCTTGGGCTTTTCCCCAACTAGCTCTTCTAACTCGAATTTACTTGTTTCTACTAATCTATATTCTGCCACGTGGTTCAGTTACCTCTCCTCTGCACCATGTGTACAACTACTTCAGTGTCTTGCTGGCATCTCTTGCACATCTAGATTCATCCCAAGTTCTTCTCTTTGCCCGAAAGTCCTGCCTAGTCTCTCCAGTCTAGCTATTAGCCACTCAGCTCTTTATTAAACCTACCAGAGTGACATATCTTCACACAGTGAACAAATATTTTGCAACATTTATGTGCATCATTAAGTTGTTAATATGAGATCTCTTGGGTTCTTTTTTTTAATGCAGATGTGTAGTTCTAGAAACTGACCTCTTAGGAATGCTTCTATTGTGTCCCATGGGTTTTAATATGTTGTAATTTTATTTTCATCCACTTCTAGGAATTTTAATTTTTCCTTAAAATTCCTCTCTGACACAATTTTCATTTAGTGTTTTGTTGTTTAGTTTTCATGAGTCTGTTTAGTTACTGCCATATCTATTGCTTTATTCTTTTGTGGTCAGATAGAGTACAGACTGTTATTTCAACTTTTTAAGAATTGTTAAGAGTGCATTTATGCCCTAATATATGGTTGATTTTAGAGAAAATTCCATCAACTTCTGAGAAAATGTGTATTTTTTTAGTGTTTTGGTGAAATAATCTGTAACTATCTGTTAGACCTTACAAATTTGTGATGCAATTTAACTCAAAAGTTTCTTTGTTTTTATTTGAGGAACCTGTCTAGTCAATGAGACAGGTGAAAGTGGTGTATTGAAGCCATTCATTTATCACTGTGCTGGTTTGAATTGTGGTTCTAGATCTAGTAATGTTTCTTTTAGGAAATTAGGTGCCCCTGTGTTTGGTTCATAAATGTTTATAATTGTAACAGCCTGTTGATGGGTTTGTCTTTTATTGAGTATAAATATCCTTTCCCATCTCTTCTTACAGAATTTTGGCTTAAAAATCTATTTGGTCATATATTAAGTCATACTTTCTTGTTTCTTTATGCCATTTACTTGGATACCTTTCAAAAATCCTTTTCATCTAAAGTGATATCCATTCTTAATGGTGAAGTGGGTTTCACGTCAAGAAGATGGATCCTGTTTTCTAATCTAATCTGCTAGTTTGTGTCTTCTTATTGAGGAATTAAGACCATTAATATTGGGAGTTATTTTTGAACAATGTTTATTAATTCTTGTTACCTTGTGCCATAGTTAATAGACTTCTTTTGACCAACTGGTCTGGAATTGTTTGCTTTTTCTCTTGTGTCCGCTTGGATGCATTTAATCTCTTCAGACAGGAGTATTGCTTTTTGTACCCTTCATGGAGCTTAGTAGACATAAATTTCTTAAATCCATTTATATCATGGTAAGTTTTCCTATCCTTTAATTATGGCTGACAATTTGCCTGTTATCTTTTGTCTTTTGAACACTGTAGAAAGACCTTTCTGGTGTAAGACAAATTGCTAAATGGTCTTATTAATAAAAAAAAAAAACATGGAGCCAGATATTGGAGTAAATTCTGAAAGATCAGAGAGACAGAACAAGCCACAGCCAACCTCACCTGGCCAACTTCTCAGCTGATCCTGTTTCCTCAGACTGAAAGCCTCTGAGTCCTTACTGGAATGGATTTCAGCTGAACTGCTGCTAAACAGCCTCTAGTTCCTGGTCCTCATGCCTTATATACCTTTCTGCTTCCTGCCATCACCTCCTAGGATAAAAGGTATGTGTCCTTCCCAAGCAAAGACATGAGATCTCAAGTGCTGGGATTGAAGGTGTGTGCCACCATCCTTGGCTCTGTTTTCAATGTGGCCTTGAACTCACAGAGATGAGTTTCGGGGGTTCCCCAATTCCAACTTTTTTTCAAAGTTCAGTCTTGAGACATAAATTGATGATCCATCTGGATCTCTGTCTCCTAAGTGATAGGATTAAAGGTGTGTGCCACCACTGTCTGGCCTCTATGGCTAATCTAGTAGTTGTTCTGTTCTCTGACCCCAGATAAGTTTTGTTATGGTACACAATATATTGGGGACACAATATATCACCACATTCTGGCTTTCACGGTCTCCATTGAGAAGTCAGGTGTTATTCTGATGGGCCTGTCTTTAAATATAACTTGGTCATTCTCTCTTCTCACTTTCAATACCTTTGTTGTTCTGTACATTTAGTGGGGTTTTGTTGATGGTGTTTCTTTTTGTCTTTAAATTTTATTTTATGCTTATGAATGTTTGTCTGTGTGTATGTATGTATACAACATACATGCCTGATACCTGTGGAGGTTGGAAGAAGGCCATAGATCCTCTGGAACTGGAATTCCAAGTGGTTATAAGACACCAGGTGGCTGCTGGAAATTGAACTCAGGTCCTCTGCAAGAGCAAGAAATTCTCCTAACCACTGAGCCCCACATTTAGTGTTTTGATTATCAT